TGCAGAGGGCTCAGTCAACACTGGTTAGATTCCAGGAGACTCTGATTCGCCCAAGCTGAATTCACTTCGGTCGCACTTCTGGCTCCACTATGTGACACTGCATAACAAATACAGAAAGACTCTAAAATAAAATGAACTTTCTTTGGAAATAGGTATTGCAATGGGAATAAGCAGGCCATAGGAAAGTACGTGTGAATTTAGGGAGGTGAAGGAAGACAAAGGTTTTAAAAGGAAAATGGAGGAGGTCACAGGATTGTTTTGAAATATTTATCCTTGGCTACAAGGATCAAGGAAAAGAGTGGCACCAGTCTGAGGTTGGACAGGAGTATTTTGTGGTGAAAGATTAGGAAGGTCTTTGTGCAAGGTGGAACTGGAGCCTAGACCACTGGCATCATCCACTCACCCACAGCCTCAGCTTCCCTTTTGGAGACACTGCAGGGGAGCCAAGGAGCTGGGCCTCGGACCCCTCTTTATTGGCAGTCTGTGCAGGGTGACTAGGACTATGTGGTCAGAGGCTAAACCCACGTCATCTCCGATAGGCTGCGATTGCTGTGCTCTGGGTCAACTGTGCATTGCTATCATGGGGGCTGCACTCGCAGCCGCAGGCCACCTTCTGGCAGGGTGCTCCGTTGCTCTCCCTGGGTCAGGAACTGGGAGAAGAGCGCGAGGCCAACCAGAAGCCCAGACGCCCTGTGGAGATCCTGTACAGGGGTTCCCAGGAGGACAAGGAAGGTCCCTCGTGAAGGTGTGCTCCGCGCCGGCGCTGTGCGGGCAGCCCAGGCACTCCATTAGGGTTCCCTTATCCTTTAGGAGGAGTCCTCCCCGGGCGGTGCTCTAGGGCTGTGGGCTGGGGCATGGTGGCCCCCAGCTGCGTAGCTCCAGCACCTTTCTAGCCGGCTGGTGGGCAGCTCAGCTTGGGGACGCGGGATCCGAAGGGACCCCGCCCAGGAGTACCCGCTGCCTTTACTGGTCCTGGGACAGGGCTGGACCCCGCGGGCTGGCGGCTTGGCAGCAGAAAAGGCAGGGGGCGCTGGGAGACAGCAACTGCCCGTGCAGCTCTGTTCAGGCTCAGGCTGTGGTTCGTAGCGGGCCCGCTAGGCCAGGTCCTGCTCAGGTGCGCACTCGCCAGGTAAATGGCGCCGAATCCCTGCAGCAGTCACCACCATCTCGGCCACTGCGCAGAGCCTCCCGGCTTCGTCTGCTCGCGCCCCGCGGGAGGTGAAACTTCTTCCAAGTTTGGATTCTGGGGAGAACCTATTGAAGTCAGGAGTGGCTCGGGTCGGGGTCACAGACGGGGAGCGGGGGTGGGTGAGGGACGGAGCCGGTCTCCATCAGGGCCGCCCAGGGGGTGGGCTGTGTATCCACGACCCTGGGGCGTTGGCGCTCCCCCCCTGGGGAAGGGGCATGTGGGCCGTCGGGCCACTGAGCAGAGGAAGCCAGCGAGCGGGGTTGGAGTGGTCGATCCCGCGGACTTCCGCGAGTACAAAGTTTGGTTCTTTGGCCACTTTGTGGAGCCTCTGTGTTCAGCGTGGAAAACTGAAAGTGCAGCATAGGCGCGCTCCTGACCGCACCTCCTCACTCCAGCCTCCGCTCCTTCCCCCACATTCCGGCCGGCCTTGGCTAGGGCAGGTCCTGGACCAGAAAGGCGAAGGGAAGAGGTACGGGCCTTTCAGTGAAGGCCCACTCCGTGCCAGGCCCCGTGCCCAGCGCCTCCCGCTTCCCATCAGGGCCCTCCCAACCCAGGGACCCGCACGTGTGTGCAGAGAAGGGGACAGGGGAGAAGACTCCACTGTGCACGCGGAGGTGGTGGCCCCGCTGAGCCCTCCTGGTCCCTGGTTTCCCCAGTGAATGAGGCCCGCGGCTGGGGCCTCTGCACCCAGGCCTATTCCTCTCCTCACAGTGCCCGGGAACCCCGTCGGGCTGCGGCGCCTCATGAGCTTGCCTCTGTCCTTCTGGCAGCTGAGGCCCCAGGAGCCACGCTGAGGCCCACCAGGAGGCCGGCGGTCACGCGCATGGCGTAGCCCAGGTGGCCCAGGGCTGCACCCCAGCGGCCTCGGCACCATGCAGTCCTGGTATTCGCTGATGGCGCACTACGATGAGTTCTAGGAGGTCAAGTATGTGAGTCACTGCGGCGCGGGGGGCGCTTGCGGGGCCTTTCTGCCCCCAGGCCACCGGGCCCAGGCCGGGCTGCAGCGCTGGAAGCAGCTTGCTGTGAGCCTGCTGTCGGGTTGGTGTTTGCAGCCGGCCTCTGCTCCATCCTGGCGGCTATGCTGGCGCTCAGGTACCTGGGCTCGGTCGTGGCCGGCGGCGGCGCCTGTCCTGAAGGCTGTCCTGAGCGCAAGGCCTTTGCATGCGCCGCTCGCTTCCTGGCAGCCAACCTGGACGCCAGCATCGACCCATGCCAGGACTTCTACTCGTTCGCCTGCGGCGGCTGGCTGAGGCGCCACGCCATCCCTGATGACAAGCTCACCTATGGCACCATTGCGGCCATTGGCGAGCAGAACGAGGAGCGCCTGCGGCGCCTGCTGGCTCGGCCCAAGGGTAGACCCAGCGGCGCTGCCCAGCACTAGGTGCACGCCTTCTTCCGCTTGTGCCTCTATATGCGCGAGATCGAACGACTGAACCCGCCGCCCAGGCTGGAGATCATCGACGACTGCGGGGGCTGGGACCTGCGCAGTGTGGCGTGGCGGAGCGCCCGGGGGTCGCTGCGGGATGGGACTTCAACCAGCTGCTGTAAAAAGTGCAGGGCGTGTACAGCACCGTCGCGCTCTTCTCACTCATGGTCAGCCTGGACTGCAGCAACTCTTTGCGCTACGTCATCCGTGTGAGTGTGCGCCCGGAGCGCCCCGTCAGGGGCCGCGGACCCAGGGCGCAGTGGCCTTGCCCAGGGGTTCCTGCGCACGGGAGGAGGGTGCGCGAGAGGAGAGGAAGGGAAAGCAGGGGAGGAGGTGAGGGAGGGCACAGCGGCCACGCGCGGGAGGAAGTCGTAAGTAATTTACCTGGGATAACTTCGGTGTTTAGCGGAGCAGCGGGAGCAGCCATTTCCCAGCTCTCTGGCAGGCAGTGAGGGCGGGGGTGGGGGGTGGAGGGAGTGCACGGCAATATATTCAAGCTTATGTACAAAGCATCTGAGGTCGAGTTGAAGAAACAACTTGAAGAATGGTCTCACAGCAATTACAAACAAATACCCTTCGGCAATTATAAGAAGGCTTTCAATGACTGAACCCGAATACTTGGTTGCCTGAGTTAAATATACACATTTGGGTGATGGCCGCTATATTATTTTTTGTATCTGATTGCTAGGCTTCTGTAAATGGCTCTGTGCTGCCGCCCAAAGCATTTATGACCAGGGAAGAAGGATGGACGCTTACCTTGCATTAGATAACCAGCAAGCTCTAAGAATTAAAGAGGGGGGAGATGTGGGGGGTGCATTTGAGCTTGAGGCATGGAAAAATACTCAGGCACTGTGTGTACGTTGTTTGTGCGTGAGAATGTAACTCCTTCACCTTGAAAACAGGACAAGGAGTGGAATGTGTGATAAGGAGCGCTGAAAACAGCCTCCTAAGAATGTGGTCTGAGTGCTTTTACAAGGCCATATGTGCCTCATGACCCCACGGCAAAAACCTATCTGGTGGATGTTTGTAGTTTAACAAGCCCTCTAATAAATACTTGGCAGACAGATTTGGGGGCAGCACTCTCTCAGAGGAGCTGCTCCCTGCCCCGCTCAGCTGGAGTCGTCTGAGTACTTCACTCTCAGCGTTCACAGCAGCTACAAGCTGCAAGTGGTGACCCCAACGTGACCACCTTGAAATTATGCGTGGAGCAGGTCGACTCATCAACTTTTGGAACTAAAAATACCAAAAATTAGCCGGGCGTGGTGGTGGTTGCCTGTAATCCCAGCTACTCGGGAGGCTGAGGCAGAAGAATTGCTTGAACCCGGGAGGCAGATGTTGCAGTGAGCCGAGATCGGGCCACTGCACTCCAGCCTGGGCGATACAAGCGAAACTCCGTCTCAAACAAAACAAAACTCATGCTAAGGAAAGAGCATATTTTTGAGCAGAAGTTTGAAAATATTTTCTTTGACACTTGATTTTGGGGTAAACAATGTATTGGACTCATAAACACTCATACCAACACAGGAAAAGGAAGCTTGAGAACAGAATGATCTAATTTCAGAATAATCTTTTTCCTCCCCCTCCTCCTCCTCCTCCTCCTCTTCTTCTTCTTCTTCTTCCTATTCCTCTTCCTCTTCCTCTTCTTCCTTCTTCCTCTTCTTCTTCTTGAGATGGAGTTTCACTCTCGTCACCCAGGCTGGAGTGCAATGGTGCCATCTCGGCTCACTGCAACCTCTGCCTCCTGGATTCAAGCAATTCTCTTGTCTGAGTTTCCCGAGTAGCTAGGATTACAAGCGCCTGCCACCACACCTGGCTAATTTTTGTATTTTTAGTAGAGACGGAGTTTCACCATGATGGCCAGGCTGGTCTCAAACTTCTGACCTCAAGTGATCCACCTGCCTTGGCCTCCCAAAAGGATGGGATTACAGGCATGAGCCACAATGCCTAGCTAGAATAATCTGTTTTTAAAACGTCTTCACTTTTAAAATATAGAAGTCCTTGGGTGTGAGCACTCATGTAAAACCTAAACATGCAACACCTCCGCATTGGTTAGAAAGAGGAACTTCCTAACCCACTGACAACTGGGAAGATAGAAATATACTAGCTGGATTTTACCCAAACCTTTGCATATTTGGTGAATGGAATGTAACAATGAGTGTGATGCTTTAGTAAGGCCAGCTACTGGTGTCTACCTTCTGTTCACCTCCCATGTTTTTATGACAGCCACTAAAACCTAGAATTGAAAAAAAAAAAACCAAAAAAACAAAAAACTGTCCTGAGAGAGCCAGGTCCTCAAATAGATGTATATATTTTTCCAGACAAGGTCTTGCTCTGTTGCCCAGGCTAGAGTGCAGTGGAGCAATCTTCTTTCACTGCAGCCTCAACCTCCCTGGGCTCTGTTGTTGTTTTTGTAGAGTCGGGGTCTCACTATGATGTCCAGGCTATTCTCGAACTCCTGAAGTCAAGTGATCCTACCCCGTCTTCCTGCCAAAGTGCTAGGATTGCAGGTGTTGAGCTGCCACACCTGCCAAATAGATATTTTACAATGTTAAATTAATTTTCATGTGCAAGGTCGCATTCAATCATGCTAATATTTCTAGTGAGCACAAAATGCTTGCCTTTTTGTTTTTTTTTCTCGTAAGACGGAGTCTGGGTCTGTTGCACAGGCTGGAGTGCAGTAGTGTGATCTCAATTCACTGCAACCTCCCAGGTTCAATCGATTCTCCTGCCTCAGCCTCCCAAGTAGCTGGGTGCTGACCACCACACCTGGCTAAATTTTGTAGTTTTAGTAGAGACCGTGTTTTTAGACTAGTTTTAGTTTTAGTTTCACCATGTTGGTTGGGCTGGTCTCAAACTCCTCACCTCAGGTGATCCTCTCACCACAACCTCCTGAGTAGCTGGGTCCACAGGCATGGGCCACAAGGCTTGGCTAATTTTTGTATTTTTTGTAATAGTGTAAAATTTGCTGGAAAATGTGGTTGATTTCACCTTTAATTCTTTTCAGCCAGATGCGTGGCTCATGCCTGTAATCCCAAACTTTGGGAGACCGAGGTGGGCGGATCACCTTAGGTCAGGAGTTGGAGACCTGCCTGGCCAACATGGTGAAACCCCGTCTCTACTAAAAATACAAAAACTAGCCAGGCGTGGTGGTGCACACTTGTTAACCCCTAGCTACTTGGGAAGGTGAGGCAGGGGAATGACTTGAACCCGGGAGGAGGAGGTTGCAGTGAGCCAAGACAAGATCATTGCACTCCAGCCTGGGCAACAGAGTGAGACTGCCTCAAAAAAAAAAGAAAAAAGAAAAAAAATTGTTTTCAAGGTTCTCTTGGGGCAGGTGTGGTACTCACCAAGCATGGCTGTATTGGGATAGGTGCTCCCGAATGCTTTCGGAAGGTCAGAAACACCTGGAGTCAGCTCCTTTCCCAGCTCTCACCTCTACCTACTACCGTCTACCACCCCACCGTCCACCCAAAAGACAAGATCCTTCTTCTGGCAGCAGCCAGAGTACTCATTTTCCACCTAGGGCCGGTCACAGCCCTACTCAAAGACCTCCAACCACATCCCTTTACTCAGACTTCACACTCCCCCATGCTCTCCACCCTCTTGACCCCTCAGATTTATCCCTCTACCCACCCACCCTCTAATCCAGCCCTTGGCCTCCGAGAGCACCTGCCGGCGCTGCCCCAGGGCCTCTGTGCTGCTGTACCGCCTTGCTCAAGCCCCACGCTGTTCAGGTCTCCTGCTCAATCGTCTGCTCCTCAGCAGCCCCTCCTGGCCTGCGTTACCCACCCCTCCAGCCACCGTGCCCACAGGCACTCACGATTTTTCTCCTAGGAAGCAGTACTGGCATTACACTGTCTAACACTTCCTTTTCTTACTTGTTTATTTATTTTTTTAATTAATTAATTTACTTTTGAGGCGGAATCTTGCTCTGTCACCCAGGCTGGAGTGCAGTGGCATGACCTTGGCTCACTGCAACCTCTGCTGCCCAGGTTCAAGCGATTCTCCTGCTCCAGGCTCCTGGGTAGCTGGGACTACAGGCGCATAGATAAGGGATTTCACCGTGTTAACCAGGATGGTCTCCATCTCCTGACCTCGTGATCTGCCCACCTTGGCCTCCCAAAGTGCTGGGATTAAAAACACTTCCTTTCATTATTGCTTTGTCTCCCAGGAGAGCGGAGGCCCTGGGGAGGCAGGGGAGTCTTCCTTGTTGAGAAATCTATGCCCAGTGTCCAGATGTCTGGGGAGGGACCTTTGGCTCTCGACTGCTGCCCTGCACCCAGGAGCTCCTTGGATCTCAGTTGGGTGCTGAAATTGGCATTTGGAGGTATGGAACATCTGAGTAGTTGTGATTTGGGGCAAGCCTCTGCCATGAGGCAGAGGGCCCCTTGGAGGGGTACAGGAGTGTGGAATTAGCTCAGTGAGGGGCAGCCAAAGGCTGTGTCAAAATCCCCCTGGGGTTCCCCACCCCAGCAGCCTCCTTGGCTGGCGCGTGGCAGGAAGCCACGCTTCTCCAGTCATCCTGAAGCTCCCGAGTCCTCAAGTCCCACAAGTGATTCAAGGACTGAAGCAAAGGTCAGCCGGGCGCGGGGTCTGGGTGCTTCTCTTCTCCGGAAAGGGAGCCTTCCTGGTACCCAAGGACTGTAGGTGGGGGCTGGATGGCCTGAGCTCCCTTCTTTCCTGGGGTGCAGGCAGCCACAGGGCACAACCTGCAGTCCCTGGGGTTGGGTAGGGAGTCCAGGAATAGCCAAGGGGCAGCTTTGGTGTCATGGGCTCAGTCCCCAGGGTGCACGAGGAGGTGAAGGTTCCATGGCAGGACATCTGTGTGGTGACTTCAGGGGTGACGACTCGGGGTGGAGGCCGGGCAGGACAACAGGAGGTGGGAAGCAGGAGAACTCCGAGATGGGGAAGCAGGAGCCCCAGGGACGGGACACTCAGGGAGCAGTGACCGTCCCTAGCAGCAGCAGGGCCCCGGCTAGAAGAGGCAGGGACTCGGGGACCGCGGAGCGCCCAGGGTGTGCGGTGTCGGTGCCGGCGGGGGGCGCCAGGTCGCACGCCGTGTAGGGCTCCAGGCAGGCGGCAAAGGCCATGACGTGCGCTACGAAGCTCTGCTCCTGCACGCCATGAACCAGGTGCGCCTGCGGGCCGCGCGCGAACACCGCCACGTCCTCGCCTGCGTGTGTCTCTTCGTCCAGGGGCACTGCTGACTGCTGCCGGTACTCGGGGCTCCCTGGTAGGAGGGTTCAGTTCCGGTAGGAAGGTTCAGTTCCAGGCAGACAGAAGGTGACCCCTTCCCGCCAGTCCCCCATCCTTGGCACCCTGGTCCCCTTCAGGGGGCGACCCCGCGGCACTCACCGCTCTCGCTCTCAGTAACATCCGGCCGGGCGCCATCCTTGAGCACATAGCCCGGACCGTTGCCATATAGGAGGGCCGTGTAGGCCTTCCTGTCCTGGGCCTTGCCGGGTGCCAGCCCTGCAGAGAGAGGGGTCCCTGTGGTTGAGCTGAACACAGCTGTGGAGTGCCTCCCACGTGCTAGGCACCGCCACTTTTTGCCTGGTCAGGGGCTTAGTCCTCAGGAGACCCTACAGGGCTGGTGCCAGCATTACTCCCATTTGACAGAGGAGGAGACTGAGGCTCAGATTTCACCCACGTAATTGATGCAGCAGCACCTGCCACTCTCCCCAGGCCTACCGAAGATAGAGCTCCCTCGCAGGGGGTAGCCACCAAAGGAGAAGACGTGGGAGTGGTCAGCGGTGACGAGGGTCAGCGTGTCCTCCTCGCTGGTGAGCTGGCCCGCCCTCTCAATGGCGTCGTCGAACATGACCGCCTCAGTCAGTGCCCGGTAGGCCCTGCTTTCGTGATGACCATGGTCGATGCGACCGCCTGCAGGAAGGCCAGCGAGGGTGGTGCTGAACCTGCCCTGCTCCAAACCCCAACCCCCACTCCCCAGGGGCCACCACGCACCCTCCACAAAGAGGAAGAAGCCGCGGGGGTTCCTGCTTAGCAGGCGCAGGGCAGCCTCTGTCATCTCCATCAGGGAGGGGTCCAGTGTGGGGTCTCGGTGGATCTCGTATTTCATGTCTCCGGGCTCAAAGAGACCTGTGGGACAAGGGGTCCCATGGTGACTGGCAGGCTGGGGGTGGGAGGGTGCTGACAGATGTTCATATGGGTTCAGAAGGTGCCATCTGAGGCTGTCTGAGGGATGCCAGGGCAGGAAGGGGGTCATTACCCATGAGGTGGGTCACGGATGGGTCCAGGGAAGCCTGCATGAGCTCAGTGCGGTTCCACACGTACCGGGCACCCTGCAGGGAGGGAGAGAGCCAGGCCTCAGCCCACAGCCCTGAGCCCCACACCTCTGTCCTCCCCCTGCTGTGCCTCCTGCACCCGCCAGCCCCCATCACCTGCTGCTTCGCCAGCCATTCCTGCACCAGGTTCTTCCCATCCATCCTGGTCCCATCCTGGCTGTAGTCATGAGGGTACTCAGGGTCTGGGGCCCCCATGCGAAACATGTACTTTCGGCCTCCACCTAGGATCACCTGGGAACAGAGGACAGGGCACGTGGGTTTGGGGCCTGGCTGGCCCTGTGCCACTTCCTCCTGCACAGCCCCTGGCTCCCTTCCCCAAGGTTGTGGGAGTGGCCTGGCCTGGGCTGCACCTTCTATGCCCCCAACCCCACCTCCAGACCCTGCTGGCCCAGATCAGGCTATTGGTTGCCTGGGTCTGAGCTGATGCCCCCTGCTACTCTCTGCCCAGCCCCAACCCTTGGCCTTGGGGTCGCACGTCAATGTCCATGTTGGAGATGAGCTGTGTGGCGATGTCCTTGCAGCCCTCCCGGCGGGCCGAGCCAGGCATGTTGGCATCCGAGTACCAGTTGCGGTTCACCGTGTGGGCGTAGGCACCGGCTGGTGAGGCATGCTGCACCCGTGTGGTGGTCACTACTCCCACTGACTTCCCTAAGGGTGACAGAGGTCAGGATATGTGACCAAGGTCTGTGACCTGGCCCTGATCCCGCAGTGGGCCCCAGCTCACCTGCTTTCTTGGCCCGATTCATCACGGAGACCACCTCGTTGCCGCGTGTCGTGTTGCACTGGTTAAAGCGGGCAGCTGCACTCAAGCCAATGGTCTGGAAGTTGCCCTTGACTCCGCACAGGTAGGCGGTGGCTGTGGCTGCACTGTCTGGCACATGCTTGTCTACACTGTATGTCTAGGGACAGAGACAGTCTGAGCTCTTCTCTGGGGCAGACACACAGACCCTGATCTCTGTCCTCTGGGATTCCAACTGCCTCCAGCTCCTTACTGGAGGCCCAGCTGTTTAGGGTCCCTCCGTCCTACCGCACTCCATAGCCAGGATACCCTTCTCTGCTTGGAAGACTCTAAGGTGGCCCAGCCCTTACCTTGGACAGAGCCACATATGGGAAGTGGTCCATGGCCAGGGGGGTCTCAGGCCCCAGTTTGTCCTCCTTCTGCCCCTTTAGGATCCTGGCGGCTGTCACCGTAGACACCCCCATCCCTGAAGGAACAGAAATGTGTGAAGCTTGGGCCCCAGGGCTGTCCTGGAACCACCGAGGGTCCAGGCGCCGGGGCTGTGAGGGCTGCGGGGCTGGACAGGCCTTGCTCACTCACCGTCGCCCAGGAAGAGGATGAGGTTCTTGGCGGCTGTCTGTATGGGCTGCAGCTTCTTGGCAGCACCCAGGGCCTCGGCTGCCTGGCGGTTCCAGAAGTCTGGGTTCTCCTCCTCAACTGGCCAGGGGGAGAGCAAAGATCAGGTCAGCCTGGGCTGAGGGGTACCCTGTGTGTGTGTGTAGGAGCAGCTAGGGGAGCCTCATTACCTGGGATGATGCCCAGGGAGAGCTGTAGCCTCAGGCCCAGCAGCAGCAGAAGCACCCAGGGCCCCTGCATGTCTGGAGGGCAGCAGGAGAGTGGGGTGGCAGGAATTCCGGGTGTGGAGCATGAGCTGCACTCCAGGCTGCCTGGGTTTAAATCAAGGAGCACTGTGTCCCAGCTTCTCCCCTTGTTGCCACCTTGACCCCGCCCAGCCTCTTGACATGAAGCCACACTGGCTGAAGGGAGTGGCAGGGTGCGGCTGGGCTGGGCCAGGCTGGGGTTGGGGTCCTGAGAAAGGCAGCTCAGGGTGGGACCAGGTGTTGCTCAGGGAAGGGTGGGGTTTTGGGTACAGATGCCATCTGGGTGAGTGTTGTGTGCAACCTGCAGCCAGGAGCCCCTCCCCCAACCCCTGCTCACTGTGTCTTGTGTGGAACAAGACGCCCTGTCACTCATTCATTCACTCATTTGTTTCTATATTTCCCAGAAGCTGGGGCCAGGCTCTGTTCTGGTGTCGAGAGGAGGGGAGGCTGGAAGCACACAGCCTGGGCCAGGGCCTGGGTTCAGCCTACTGATGCCAGGAGCCTGGGCCCGGTGGGAAAGGGGCACGTGGGAGGCTTTGCTGCCCTGGCACCCCCTTTTCCATCATCTGGCCTTGGCCTGGACAGGTGGGGCTGGCAGGAATCCGGGCCCAGAGCTCTAGGGCTGTGGGCAGCTGTGGGTCCAATGGTGACAACACTGACAACAGTGTTGAGCCAGTCCTGCCCATTGCTCACATTGTGTGTGTGATTGTGTAGGTGTTTGTGTAGATGCACTCGCACTAATGTTTGGATGACGCAGGTTGGGGAGAGTCCACCCCAGCCCAACCACAGCAGCCCCTTCTGCACTCAGGCCTGCTCGCCCTGAGCCCCAGGCTTGGCCCCCAGAACCCAGGGGACCTTACCTGCTGCCCAGCCTCTGCCTTCCCTGCCCTACTCCACACCACCCCGACAGACTTCCCCTCACGCCAAGCTTTCCCGGGTCCTCCTGCCTGCACCCCACCTGGCTTCCCGCTGGTCGTCCTGGGGCTCTCAGGGAAGACGTCGCCCTCATGGGGCCTTCCTGCCTCCTGCTTGTTGCCCCCTTAGTTCCCTCTACGCCCTGCTTCATCTTGCTGAGTTACGACATTTCTGGGCTAAATTTCAGAGGAGACTCACTAACAGGCAGGTCCTTAATTAATTCATTGATTCACTCCAAGCTCAAGGCCAGTCAGGAGCTTTTGCAGCCATCCCCACGATTATTTTTCAAGCGGGATTGTTTTGGTTTTGGAGACAGGGCCCCGTTCTGTTAGCCAGGTTGGAGTGCGATGGCTGGGTTGCGGCTCCCTGCAGCTTGTGACGTCCCAGGCTCAACCTATCTTCCCACCTCTGCCTCTCACGTCGCTGGGACCAATGGCATGTGCCACCACACCTGACTCATTTTTTATTTTGTGTAAAGACATGGTTTTGTTATGTTGCCCAGGCTGGTCTCGAGCCCCTTGGGCCCAAGGGATCCTCACATCTCAGCCTCCCAAAGTGTCTGGATTACAGACATGAGCCACTGCACTCTCCTTCTTCTTCTTTTTTTTTTTTTTTTGAGACATGGTCTCATTCTGTCACCAGGCTGGACTGCAGTGGCGTGATCATGGCTCACTGCCGAAGCCTTAGCTTCAGCCTCCCCAGTAGCTGGGCTTCTTGGCACCAGCCACCATGCCTAGCTAAATTTTTTTTGTAGAGTCTCACTATGTTGCCCAGGCTGCTCTCAAACTCCTGGCTTCAAGTGATCCTCCCGCCTCAGCCTCTCAGACCACTGGGATCACAAGTGTGAGCCACTGGGCCCAGCTGGGTGTTGTCGTTTGGCAACAACATTCATTCCCAGCCCCTGCCATCCTGTCCCCTGAGTGGCAAGGGCTGTCACCATATTTCCCAGTGAGATGCCCTGGTAAGATCTGGAGGGCAGGAGGCAGGCAGAAGCCATTCATCCGTGGTTGGCGGTAGCTGGTGAGGGGGCGAATTCAGCCCTGTCCGGCCACTTTGGGAGGCTGAGGCAGGTGGATCACCTGAGGTTGGGAGTTCAAGACCAGCCTGACCAACATGGATAAATCCCATCTCTACTAAAAACTACAAAATTAGCCAGGCGTGGTGGCACATACCTGTAAGGTGGGCACTGAGCTGGAACATGGTCTGGACTGTACAGAGCTTGGTATCCCCAAGGGCACCAGGTGGTAGAGGGTGCTAAGGGATCCAGATGGGGCCCTACAGGACCAGCCCTTCCTTCCCAGAGAGCAGAAGGACCAAGACGACCGATCCTCAGAGAATACACGCCACAGCCTGGGCCTCCCCTTGCCCCAGGTAACAGCAACCAAGAATCCCAGGAATGGAGGCTTTATATCTTCCTCCAGCCCGGGAAGACCTGCTGCTTCTGCTTTGAAATCCCTGGGTCTCAGAGGAAGGGCTGTAACCAGACATTATGACAGGCGACTCTGGCATGAAGGTAGGAGGCAGGGTGGCCAAGCATTCCCATGTGGCCAGGGTGTCATCATAGACTTTGAATGTGGACGAGTATCCTTTGTTTTCTGCGAGTGATATTTGCGTGTGTCTGGTCTCCAATCTTGCTCAGGTGCCTGACAAAATTCACCACATAGTGAGCAACATAGCGAGACCCTGTTTCTATTTTATTTTATTTATTTATTTATTTATGTTTTTTTGAGATGGAGTCCCATTCTGTCCCACAGGCTGGAGTGCAGTGATGCCATCTCAGCTCACTGCAACCTCCACCTCCCAGGTTCAAGCGATTCTCCTGCCTCAGCCTCTTGAGTAGTTGGGATTACAGGCGCCTGCCACCATGTCCAGCTAATTTTTGTATTTTTATCTTTTTTGTTTTTGTTTATTTACTTGTTTTGGAGATGGAGTCTCGCTCTGTCACCCAGGTTGGAGTGTAATGGTGAGATGTCTGCTCACTGCAACCTCTGCCTCCCAGGTTCAAGGGATTCTCCTGCCTCAGCCTCCCGAGTAGCTGGGATTACAGCCACCCGCTACCAAACCTGACTCATTTTGCATTTTTAGTGGAGATGGGGTTTCACCATGTTGACCAAGCTGGTCTCGAACTCCTGACCTCAGGCATTCTACCTGCCTTGGCCTTCCAAATTGTTGGGATTACAGGCGTAAGCCACTGCTCCAGGCTAATTTTTGTATTTTTAGTAGATATGGGGTTTCACCATGTTGGCCAGGCTGGTCTCAAACTCCTGACCTCAAGTGATCTGCCCACCTCAGCTTCCCAAAGTGCTGGGATTATAGGTGTGAGCCACTGCACCTGGCCAAAAACTATTAAAAGAAAAGGAGTGTCAAAAAATTTAGGCCGTGCTGGGGGTGGAGGCTCACACCTGTAATCACAGCACTTTGGGAGGTGAGGCATAAGCCCGGGACCTCCAGACCAGCCTGGGCAACATGGTGAAACCCCATCTCTACCAAAAATGCAAAAATTAAATGGGCAAGGTGGCACACACCTGTAGTCCCTGCTACTCGGGAGGCTGAGGTGGGAGAATTGCTTGGGCGCAGGAGGTTAAGGCTGCAGGCAGTGAGCCGTGATTCCCCCACTGCACTCCATCCTGGGCTACAGAGCAAGACTCTGTCTCAAAAACAAAACAAAACAAAACAAACACACGCACACACACACACACAACACAAAGTCAATGGGTCTCTTTGGTGAGGAAGGAAGAAGTGGGGTCTGAATAGGGGGGCGGGGTACATATGGGGAGATCCTGGCCGTAGTCAGTTTCTTGATCTGAGTGGTATTGCTTTGGTGTTCAATTCTGTAACTCTTCTTCAGGCAGTATCTTTCTGTTGTATGCAGTTTTAATGTTTGGCATATCTCAGAAGGCAAGAAGGAAAGGAAGGAACAAGTTGGTCATTTGATCCAGATTAGATGCAACTGTTCCCGCTGCATTTTCCATTTTCATCTCAGACAGTATTTTTCAAAATGTGACATGCGCATGTTTCCAAAGGGTGGTACTGAAACAGGATAGGTAATCAAGGAAGTGACCATGTTCTTGGGATGCAGCAAGCGTGGTGACCACACAGTCAACACAATAAGCCTCAGCATTCGAATTGTAATTCAGCTCATTCAAGCAAAGCTATCTTCAGTGGGGATTTTTCTTTCTAGAGAACATGCGCGTTTTGATTTTACCTATCCTCAAACTGACCCTTTGCTCATAATAGTAAAAAGCACACCTGGGTGGAGATTTAAGAAGTTAATGAGACATGCGACGCATGAACGAGCATGTACAGCTACTCACATGTGCATTCAGAGGACCACCCAGAACATGCTTACTAGCAGCACCTCTTCCCACCCCCTCAGGAATAATCATGTAAAATTTCCATAAAGGGAGTCTCCCTAGTGCCAACCTTTGCTGTCTTGTCTTTATGAGTAGCCCACCCTGAATTCTTCTCTCTGCCTATTCTGCACTTCACTTTCAAGATATTCTTTTTCTTTTGCAATAAATTATTGCATGCCGCATCTCCTTTGCTATTGCATCTCTTGTTTAAATTATTTTAAGCTAAGAAGACAAGAACTGAAGTCTCACATCAGCTGTCAACAGCACTCCAGATTATTTTAGGTAGTGTGGGTGTCAAAGCAATTCCATCTCGGGGGCTAATTCACCACGTTGATGAATGCCAGTTCTCGGAGGGCCTCTGAGATTTCCCGTTCATGTCGAGTTTCTTTTGCAGGAGCACCTACTTCCTGTAAATCCTGCCCTTAGGACAAAACAACTTTGATGTTATCATATTTCAATTGTCCTACACATCCCTTTGAGGTCGCCCCTCCCCTGTGGCCCTCGGTCTTGGGGGGTAAAGCTACCATCTTGCCTCACCGCCACCTGAGACTCAGACATAGCTTCTGTTCGTAAGTCTCTAGTAAATGTTTTTTTCTAAGAAACTGGATATGTCAGCAATTCTCCTGCCTCGGCCTCCTGCAGTGGCTTACGCCTTTATAGGAGTCCGAGGTGGGTTGATTGCTGGAACCCAGGCCTTTGAGACCAGCCTGGGCAACATGGCAAGACCCTGTCTCTACCAAAAAATGTAAAAATCAGCCACACATGATGGCATTCAGCTGTAAGTCCCAGCTACTTGGGAGGCTGAGGTGGGAGGATTGCTTGAATCCAGGAGGTCGAGGCTGCAGTGAGCTGAGACTGTGTCAGTCTACTGCAGCCTGGGCAGCTGCCAAAACAAAACAAAACAACAAAAAAACCCAGAGACCCCTGAAAAGCAGTCTCTGCCACCTGGAAACTTGCTGCCTTGTCATTTCAACATGCTTGTCTACTTCAGTTGAT